CCCGTGGCTCCGGGGCGAAGGCGCCGCGCCGCCGTCCGAGGACTCGCCGGTCTGCAGCACCTATCGCGAGGAACCGGGAGCGGCAGGAACCGAACCTGCCGGGGCCCCTCGCGCCGATCCACGGCGTGCGCGCGGGGCTCCGAGGGTTCATGCTTCTGCCGCCTCCCGTTCCTCGGGCCTCGTGCTCCTGCACTGGGGGCAGGTCTCGGGAGCCCCGGGAGACCAGCGAGCCGATGCTGGCGCTGCTGGCGTGGCTCACCTCCACCACGCCACGAAACTCCTGGAGGTCCTCGACCGAGGCGCCCGCGGCGGCCTTGGCGCCAGGCAGCCCGGCGACCTCCTGCTGGATCACCGCCTCCGCCGCCCCGCCGGCGACGTGGCTCAGAACGACCGACAGCTCGTCGCTGACCTGCTTCGCCGTGGGGCGCAGGGCGGGCTTCAACTGGGTGCACTGCTCCTGGGGAGGAGCCAGCAGATACCGGTACCGCTGATCACGGGGCCTCCCCCGTGGCGCGTCCTGACCATGGCCAGGATCTCGAGGCGAATCCAGCCGTGGCGACGAGGGTTCTCCAGGACGGCAGCAGCAGCGATGAGCGCTGGCATAAGCCAGTCTCCGCCGGCTTCCGCCAGCGGAGGCGGCCTCGTCTTACTTCCGCCGGCCTTCCGCCGCCTTCCGCCGAGGAAGAGATGACAGCTCCTTCTATCCTCGAAGGCAAGGCCCATTTTGGAACGCCCCATATAGAAATCGGGTCTCAGGCGGCCGCTCGGGACGGTCCGGGCAGCCTCAGGGCGCGCTCAGCGAGGAGCCGCTGCTGGGATGCACCGCCGAGGCTGGGGGAGACGGCCGAGAGGCGAGGAGAACACCCGAACACCTCGGCGAAGACGACGCACACACACCCACACACACCAGAGGTTGCCAGAGGTGCGCCGCACCAACCATCTCGCACCGAAAAAAAAACAAAAAGCGCCGCCGCGGCAGGGCGGCGTTGACAAAGAGCCCTGCGGCTCCCAAGCTCAGTCCGTTTGGAAGCAAGTACGTCTCGAAACGACCCGCCAGAGGCGCCCCCTGGCCTGAGGTGCCCCCCAGCTTTTCGCTCAGTGTTGGAGCCCCTGGGGCCTCCTGGCCCGCGTGAGGGGTGCTCAGGAGGCCGTGGGGGCCTCCTCGGAACTCCTGGGGGGCACCATAAGGGGGGCACTCTTCGCAACACCTGAGCACCGGGCAGCGGCATCGGTGCCTTTCCCTCCCCTGACTACCTACCAGACCACCCCAACCCCAACCCGAATGCCCGAATTTGACCCGAACTTCGGGTAGGGGGGGTGCGGGTCCCGTGTGTCTGTTTTCGACGCTCCCAGACCCCCCCCCCACTGGAAATGGAGGGCAGATTGAAGGCTTCGGGAGGTGGGTTGGGGTGGCTTGGTGGGTGGTGACCCCCTGAGCTCCACCAGCGGTCGGCAGGCCTGACAGAGCTCGTCGGCGGGCGCGGGCCACGTGAGCCGCGGCGGCCGCCCGCCGCGCAGCCGCCGCATCACCTGGTCGGTGCCCTTGCCCTCGAAGGGCAGGCCGCCGGTCACGATGAAGTAGGCCTGGGCGTCGACGGGCCGATCGCTATCCCCACCGGCGTGGCCTCGGCCCGGCGGGCCGACTCGCCCGCCAGGGTGGGGGCACCGTGGGGGCCTCGGAGGAGGAGCCATCGGAGAGGGTGCAGAACGCCAACGGAGGCTTGGCTGCGGGTATCACCGCCGTCCTCATCGGAGAAGGAATCCTCCAGGGCCTGCAGACTCCTGGGCACATTCCTTCACGAACGCCCCCATCGTGCAGTGGAGGCCAGTCCACAAGCAACCTTCCACACGACACCCAAGCCTGAGGCCCCAGGACGTCCACCGGTGCTCGGGGTGGGGGCGTCGTGCTCTCCACGGCAGGACCACCGAGGCCCAAAGAAACCCGCAGGGCACCCTGGAGGCAGGCAGGGCGTCTCTCTGCATGGGCCTCCACTGTGTGTGTGCCTGCTTCGTGGAGCCTGCCCCCACCCAGGACGCAGGAGGGCGGGCCTGTGGGGCTGAGCTACCGTGGCCCGGTGGGGATGGGGATGGGCTTGCAGCTGCTGCGGGCCAGCAGCCCAAAGGAGTAGCAGTCCGCGGCCGCGTCGGGGGGCACGCGCGAGAGCAGCTCCGGGGCCATCCACCGGGGCGTGCCGCCGAGGGGCCTGAGGAGAGGAGCAGGCTGGCTTCACTCTCACTTCTGGGGCCCTCCCGGGGAGGTGCTCGCCGCCACGGGAGAGGTCTGGGGCGCCCACCCGAAGAAGAAGAAGAGGAAGAAGAAGAAGACGAAGAAGAGACCGTGCGGGCACAAACTGCTGGAGCTCCGCGCGGACTTCTTTGGAGCGGCGCTGGACCCCTCCCCGGGCGGCGTCTTGGACGCCGCCGCTAGCGCGCTCCGCGTGCCAGGGAGCGGGGCCCCGACAGATCTTCGGTGGCAACTCATGGGAGCCTTCCATACCATCTTGTCGGTTCTTGCGAATCGACGCTAGTCGACGCTCAATCGGCGCTAATCGACACTAAACCGACGCGAATCGACGCGAACCTGCGCGAAATCGGCGCTATCTCATCGACTCCCAGACGCGAGTCGACGCTTCTCGACGCGACGCCAGAGACAGAATGGCGAGGGCACACAAGGCTCCCAGGACTGGCTACCGAACAAATCCGCGCGGAGCTCCGAAAACTCGTGTTTGTGCCGCACACACGTTCCTCTTCGGATGGGGTATAGTCGGGCCTGTCCCCCTACAGGGGGATTTTGGACGAAAAACAAAAAATACCCCACAAATGCTCCCAAATGGTCAGAAATTGTAAAACCAAACAAATCGCACCCTGACTATTTTTTGACCATTTTTGGAGATTCCCCCTGAAAAGAGGGACAGGCCCGACTCGAGGCCAGGGCCGTCCACAAGGAGCGTGCCGCCGGGAAAGCCTGGCCCGCCGGGTGAGGATCCGCGAGAGGCCAAAGTCGAGCAGCTTGGCGCGGTAGGAGGTCCGGCCGGTCCTGCCGCGCCGCTCCTCCACGAAGACGTTGGTGTCCTCGGCGTGGCTGCCCCGAGACGCAACACGTGACACGTGTGGTACTGATACGGGGCTCCACACGCAGGCCGAAGACGCAGGTCCGACGCGATACGTTCGCCAAAGCGTGGTCCAACACGTGGAGCCAACACGCAACGCATCGGCACGGACGTCTTGAGCACGGGGCGTGTTGCGCTTCGAAACGGGCGCATCGAGGCAACTGAGTGTCCTTGAGGTCCGCGTGGACGATGACGGGCTGCCTCGAGTGCAGGTAGCACAGCACGTTCAGGATGTCGCAGACGAGCAGGGACCTCGCGGAGAGACTGCTCGCCAGGGCCCCGGCCTCCGAGGCTCCACCGTGCGGCTCCACGGGGCGGTGGCGGCCCCCCGGGAGGCCGCGGACGAACGCGCCCAGAGGCACGCCGTCAACACGCTCGAGCACCAGGCACAGCTTACTCAGGGCATCGTCCATGCACGCGCCGTACAAGACCGCGATGTTGGGGTGGCGGAGGCGGCGAAGGATCCTCAGCTCGTTGCAGAGCTCGGTCAGGGATGAACGGGGAAGAGAACGCTGGGAAAACGTCAACTTTCCGAGGTTCGCGCGGACTTCTTGGATCGGCGCTGGGCCCCCCTGGCGCCGAAGCCCCCCAGGCGACGATCCAAGAAACCCGCGCGGACCTCCGAAAGTACATCTTTATGCCGCTTTTTCTCCCTCGAAGATGAGCCGATGGCGCCGTTCGCCGTGATGTCCTTCCGCGGCGCCTTCACCGCAACGACGGTGTTATGGTACAGACCGCACACGACGATGCCGAAGCCGCCCGAGCCGAGGACCTTGTCGGGCAGGATCTGCACGTCCTGGGGAAACCAAACGGTACCGACACCGTTACTCCCCTGACCTCTCCTTGGGCCTATGGGTGCGTTATTACCACACTTTCGAAGCGAATTCGGCCGTGGCGATGAGGGCCTCCCACTAACTTTTTACAAAATTAACCTGAGAACTGCGTCACGCAGTTTCCTTGCCGTGCGCACGAATTTCTTGTTGGCATCCCCTCTCCAATGTGGGTCATCGTGGATTTTCCGAGTCGCAACCCGCCCAGACCGCGTTCCGCTCTGCTTCGACATTGAGGGGGGCGACGTTGAATGGGTGAAAGCGCCATTGAAGTGGCGCGTCGACCAATTTTGAGGTTCATTTTGCCGAGGGCTGCAAGAGGCCCAAGAGAACGAAAACGAGGAAGGGGTGGCAGTACCGGCACCTTTTCCTCCTCTGGGCGTCCCCGCTGGCCATGAGCCACTGCTCCCTCCGGCCAATGGCGCGGATCTGGTCCAGCGACGCGTTCTCCTTGAGGGGCACCGTTAGGGGGAGTCACTGGATCAGGGAGGCAAACATCGACCTGGAATCTGCGATGCATCGCCGCTTGCGCCTATAGATCGGCGGCAGTAGAAAAATGAAACAACTGTGCACAAACTGTATCGTTTGGAGCTCCGAGCGGACTTCTCGGATCTCCGCTGAAGCCCCTGGCGCGCTCCGCACGCCAGTGAGGTGGGCCCAGCGCCGATCCAAGAAAACCGCGCGGAACTCCGAAGGGCTCTGTATGCCGGTTTTGCTCCTTCGAGATAGGCCCCCGATGGCACAACCGCACGATCCTGGGCGGAGCGGGTCATCGAGCCCCCATCGGCGATGAAGAAGCGATTGGGTGCCTGATGCTGCATCCTCGGGGGGACCTTGCCTGTCTCGTCGCAGTGCTATCCGCGTCGAATCCGTGCCGAATCCCTGTCAGACTCGTGGGATCCGTGTCGGCTCCGTTTCGAATTCGCGTCGAATCCGCGCCAAATCTGCGTCGAGGCCGCATCGAGCCCGCCTCGGGCACAGGAAACGGCATCAACTCGGGGGGCAAGCAAGGTCCCCCGAAGATGCAACGTGACGAGCCCCCTAAAGGTACCCCTGCCGCTCCTGGCCGGACCTCTCCAGCGGTGGCGAATCCAGCGGTGGCGACGAGGGCCGCCCAGGGGGCGGGAATAGAGGAAAACGGGCGCAGGGCAGCGGCATGGGTACCTCTTCCTCCCCTGGCTATCATTGTGGATGCCACGACAATGGACACTCTAACAATCCTATCATTGAATTAAAGATGTGTTTAAAATGTGCAAAACATGTTCTAAACATGTTTCAAACATGATTTGTTTTACATATTTAAACCATGTTTGAAACATCTTTTAGACATCTGGAAATCATTTGACAGCATGCTCCCTCTCCATTGGCCGCCCTCCACAAGACCATCAGCGATGCATGGGCGATTGGGTGTCGATGCCTCCCCCCGCCGAGGCCGTTCCCCCCCCCTTGGACGTGGCCCCCGGGTGGCCAGGCTGCCCTCGAAGGCCGCCGCGCTCATCGTCGTCCCCGGGCGGGACAGCCCGCCAGACCGCTCGGAGCCGGCGTCCTCCGTCCGCGCGACCTCGCCGCCGTCCACCTGCTGGAGGCCTCCCATTCTCACGTCGGTCGGAGGGAGCAGGTGAAGGCACGAAGCAGGGAGGCGCTGGAAGTAGGTTGGGCTCCCGCCCGCCCTCCGTAGACTCAGGGAAGGGCAAAGCAGCTGGATCCTGGAAGTAAGAGGGCGCCTGAAGTAGACTGGGCTCGGGGAGGCCGCCCTTTCATTTTATGTGCTGATTCTGGACGCCTTTTTGGAGCCAATCGCTCCGCTCGTGCGTCGAAGCTGCGTCGCACGTTCGTCGACTTGAGTTGAACCTGAGTCGAACATGAGTCGAACCTGAGTCGAATTGGAGTAGAACTTGAGTCGAACCTGATGAGAATCGACAGATAAGGCCCCCAGAAGCCGCCCACTTATTTCTTGAGGTTGCATCCTAGGGGGACCTTTCTGCCCCGTCGCGGCACTATCCGCGTCGAATCCGTGCCGAATCCACGTCGGCCTCGTCGGACCCGTGTCGAATCCGCGTCGAACCCGCGTCGAATCCCCGCCAAGTCCGCGTCGAGTCCGCATCGGGCCCGCGTCGGGACCAAGAAAGACACCAATTTGGGGACAGGCGAGGTCCCCCGAAGATGCACCGTAATTTGTCACAGGAAGCGAGCCTGCACTGCACCCCCTGAGCTTGTCAGGAAGCCGCAAAAATTGGGTCAGAGAATCGCGCCGGGTCGCCGATGCATCGCGGATGCATCACCGATGCGTGCGTCGGCGATGCGCTGGCGAGACTTCTGCGCGGAGAAGATCGGGCTCCACACCGAGCCGCATCGCCCCGATGCATCCGCGCTACCACAAGGAACGCCGAATGAGGAGCGAATGGCGCTTATCGGGCCACGGCGAACCTCGGCTACGAAGAGGCTCCCCGACCTGGATTTCCAAAGGAAACGGCCCCAGAACCAGAGCACCCCCCCGAGCCCGAGGCGGTACTTGCTTCGGCGTCCTGGCTGGATGTTGGCGGCCCGGAGCCTTGGACAGCTGGAACTCGGCCTGAAACCGCATCTGCTTCTCCGACAGGAACCCCGCGAACAGCGCGCGCTCCTGCCTCTCGAATGCCCGCTTCCCGAAGGCCGCGAAGAGCGTGAGCGCCAGAAGCCCGATGACGTTGAACGGGACCATGTTCATGGCTGGGCTGCCGAGCACCAGCGCGGGCACGGTGTAAGCCAGGATGGCGATCACCTGCTCCGAACGGCAAACATATCCCTTATCATCCACGCCCTCGCGGTCTGGATTCCAAGGCGAGGTCGAGCAGATACGCGGTCGCACAGTGCCTCGCGGGGCATCCGCGAAGAAACGCCTCGCATCCACGGGGCAGCGGCCAAGGGACGCCCGACCCGCGAGGCCGTCGATACGGATATGCTATACGCCCACGGACCTCCAGCGGGGCGAGCACGATCCAGCGGATGGGCAGCAGCCAGTGCACGGCGGTGACCACCAGGTCAATGTACAGCACCAAGCTGCCGTCGGTGGGGCCCAGGTTCACCCCCCATACGGCCTCCGTGTCGGCGTGGCCGAAGACTCGCGCGATGTAGTGCTTCGGGATAGTCACCAGCAGTACCATGAAGCAGCTGCCTGCAGACACGGCGAGGATCTCCAACCCAATGGTGCTAGCAATGTTGCTGTCGGCAAGGAGCTTCCCGATTCCGAGGGCGAAGATCAGGGACAGGATGCTGACCGTAATGATGAGCATCTGCCATTTGCTGAGCTCCTGAGCCTCCTCTGTGGGATACTGGGAATCGTCCCAGAACCTGTGGGCAATCACGCTGATCAGGCCAACGGTGGCAACGGTCCCGATCGCGTAAGACATGTTTTGGGACAGCCGCGCCCTATGAATGCGCGCGAAGCCCTCCTCCTTCATCGGGTCAGCGAATCTCAGGGTGAAACGGTCGATGCCGTTCTCGAACCGCTCCCGCCTGCGGCACGCACACGGCCCGCACCAAGTCAGGCTTTTTCGCCCTTCCGCAGGTGGGGCTTCCATGAGAGAGAAAAAATTAAAACTTCAAGGCCCCAAAAGCAGCCATGCAGCTGACAAGGTGTCACCTGACTAGGCTAGAGCCACCATCTTGAGCCAAGACGGCTACGGAAGGTTACCTGGGGCGATTGTCGGGGCTGGAGCCTCCTGGGAGGGCTCGGGAGAGATTCGGGAGGAGCTGTGGGACGGGATGTAAGGAACTTAGTGTACTCTGGTCGTTCATGGTTTAGGAACGTCCGCTGTCCCTCACTCGCGCTGGAACGTCTGCGATGTGCTCCAGATGCCCCTGGAGATTTTTGGATGTACCTCGAAGTATTTGGACTTACCTCGATCGTTGTGGATTTGCAACGGTCTACCTGGCCTGACCCAGGCAAGCCGATTGGAGAAAGTCGTTGACCCCTTCGGCATCTGGGGGCGCCCCCGTGGGTGGGCCAGGTGCGCCCGGGCCCGGTTTCGCGCGCATGAGCCACGCGCGCCTTCAGTGATCATGCGCGCTCGGCTGGCAGCATACACACGGTAGTGTTGTCGGTGACTTGGGGCTGGTGGCCGACAAGTCTGCCAGCGTTTCGGAACTCCTCCGGGGGGGGGTCGGTGCTCCTCGAATCTTCACAGCGGTCCATGGAATCCGAGGGAAGGGTACGGGGTAGGGGAGGCCAGAACGGGCAAAAAGGGGTAGGAACATTTGTGGAAAGGGACAGAGGATGGGGGAGGGGCAGGTGAAGGGACGGTTCTGGGAAGGGGCTGGAACAGTGGGAAAGGAAGGAAGGGGCAGGGAAGGGGAGGGGAAGTAAACCAAGCTCGAAAAAAAACACAGAAGCCTGATGATGATAATGACGATGAGGGGGAGGAGGAGGAGGAGGAGGAGGAGGAGGAGGAGGAGGAGGAGGAGGAGGAGGAGGAGGAGGAGGACGACGACGAGGACAAGGGGAACGAAGAGGAGAGCTGGAAAAAGGCAATGGGGGGAACGGACGCGGGCGACGACGGACAAAAAGGAGGAAAAGGATCGGGGAGGATGGTGAGCGAGGGGCGAGGAGCATGAAGCGCTGCCCGAATCGGGAAGCAAACTATCCATTCAGGTGCTCTTCTGGCGACGCCCACGCACAGGTGCGAGAGCCAACTCGTTCACGCGCGATGACAATCGATTCCCCTGACCCCTCCCCGACACCTCCTTGCCATGCTCCCGGGCAGCGCCCGCTCGTGGCGGCGAAGGGGGTCCGCGCTGGCCTTGCCTCCTCCCCGTCCTTCTCCTCCTCTCCTTCCTCCTCCTCCTCCTCCTCCTCCTCCTCCTCCTCCTCCTCCTCTTCCTCCTCATCCTTCTCCTCTTCAACGTCATCTGCCTCTTTTCTTCCTCGCGCTCCTACTGCTGCTGCTGCCGTTGCTGCTGCTGCTGCTGCCGAACGAGCCCCCCCCACAGACGATTAGCCAAGGATCGCGCGGGGGGCAGGGGGCCCCAAGCGCCTTCCCCACAGAGAGTTCGCCAGAACTCGCGTCGCGCGCGGAGAGCGGGATTAGTGGTTGCTTCTCCGAGCTTAATGGTTGCCTGTGGGTGCTGTGGTTACTCTGGCGCGAGCGTGCATGTATGTACGCGTGCCTGTGTATGTGCCTGTGTGAGCGTCTGTGTGCGCGTGTGCGCGCGTGTGTGCCGGGCCGTGCTATGGGAGCGACGGGAGGGGGATGTACGGCGTGCGTGCGGGATGTGTGATGGGGGCGACGGGCGGGGGGATGTACGGCGTGCGAGCGGGATGTTTTATGGGGGCGACGGGCGGGGGGGATGTACGGCGTGCGAGCGGGATGTGTTATGGGGGCGACGGGCGGGGGGGGATGTACGGTGTGCGTGCGGGATGTGTTATGGGGGCGACGGGCGGGCGGGGGAATGTACAGCGTGCGTGCGTGATGAAGGAGGAAAAGAATGAGGAGGAGGAGGAGGAGGAGCAGGAGGAGGGGGAGGAGGAGGAGGAAGAGGAGAAGGAGGAGGATGACGGAGGAGACGGAGGAGACGGAGGAGAGACGGAGGAGACCTCAGATACCGAGGAGACCTCAGAGACGGAGGAGACGGCGACCTTAAAGACCGAGGAGATCTCAGAGACGGAGGAGACCTCAGAGACGGAGGAGACCTCAGAGACGGAGGAGACAGGACCTCGAGCTAAGATGCTGCGAATGCCGTCTTCTGAGGATGTCTCGAGCAATGTTCTACAAACAACGTCTTAGGACAACTGCTACAACAACTCATTTGTTCGAGGATGTCTCAAGCGAAACGGCAATTTCCAACGTTTCGCTGAATTTCGCGAGCGGGCTCAGTAGCTCAGTTTCCGAGGATGGCTCGAGCGAGAGCCACCCTTTTAACGAAATACGTCTTAACCACACGGCTTGAACATCGCACTGATTCGAAGATGTCTCGAGCGAAGCTGCAATTTCGAGGGGAACTGATCGGACAAGAACGGGAAGCGCCGCTTTAGTCTAATGGGCGATTGGGCGAAGAAGGAGAAGAAGAAAAAGGAAGGCGAGGACGGCCATTTCTCAGAAACCACATGACCTTTTGAACCCGCCCAGCCTTTGACCCGAATGAACGTTTGACCCCGCATGGCCGTGGTATGCATGAGTGGACTTAGTGGTTGCCTGTGGCTTCTTGGGTCAACTGTAGTGCGTGGCCTTTGTGTGTTGCGTCGGTGCGTGTGTGCGCGTGTGCCTTCGCCTGTGTATAAAGCGCCTATCCGTGCCTGTGTGAACGGCCGTGCGCACGTGCACGCGAGTCGGCAGGGTGTGTGATGGGCAAGCGGGGAAGGGACACAATGATGATGATGATGATGATGATGATGATGATGATGATGATGATGATGATGATGATGATGATGATGATGATGATGCTGATGATGATGACTGTGGTGATGATAGTGATGGTGATGATGATGCTGACGATGATGCTGCTGATGATGATGATGCTGATGATGAGGATGATGATGCTGATGATGTTGCTGATGATGTTCCATCCGACGCTCATAGGGGCGACGGGTGGGATGGATGTGCGGCGGGCGGGCGTGATAAAGGAGGAAGAGAATGAGGAGGAGGAGGAGGAGGAGGAGGAGGAGGAGGAGGAGGAGGAGGAGGAGGAGGGGGAGGAGGAGGAAGAAGAGAAGAGGAGGATGGCGGAGGAGACGAGGAGAGACGCAGGAGACCTCAGAGACGGTGGAGACGGAGGAGGAGACCGCAGAGAAGAGGAGGGGGATGAGGAGCAGGAGGAGGAGGAGGGAGGAGGAGGAGGAGGAGGAGGAGACGAGAAGGAGGAGGGGGGGGAGACGGAGACAAAGGAGATGGAGGAGACCTCAGAGACGGAAGACACCTCAGAGCCGGAAGAGACCTCAGTGATCTCAGATAACTCAGAAACCTCAGAGGCGGAGGGGACCTGAGAGACAGAGGAAACCTCAGAGAAGGAAGAGACCTCAGAGACGGAGACGGAGGAGACCTCGGAGACGGAGGAGGAGGATACCTCAGAGACGGAGATGGGAGGAGGAGGAAGAAAAGGAGGAGGAGGAGGAGGAGGAGGAGGAGGAGGAGGAGGGGGAGGAGGAGGAGGAGGAGAGGAGGAGGAGGAGGAGGAGGAGGAGGAGGAAGAGGAGGGAAGAGGAGATGGAGGATGATGACGAAGGTGGCGGAGGAGACACGGAGGAGACCTCAGCGACGGAGGATTCCTCAGAGACGGAGGAGACGGAGAAGACCTCAGAGACGGAGGATACCTCGAAGACGGAAGCGACCTCAGAGACGGAAGAGACGGAGGGGACCTCAAGGACGGAAATGACCTCAGAGACGGAGAAGAGAAAACAGGACAGGACAGGACATCCGCATAAGGGGGTCAACGTCGAAGCGCCTACAAAGTAGCTGTGGGGTACGACTTGCGAAATCCCCTGCGAGTTTAGTATGCCGCAGATCCAGACTTCACATGGGGCCACCAGGGGGGGTGCCCCGGCGCTCCCAAGGGGCGTGCTCCGAGATGGCCCCGTAAGAGAGGCCCGCTACCTTGTGAGTGCGAATCCCTACGGGTCAATGCGGGGAGGGCAGCTGTTGGCCCCCTCGCGCGCCCATTCCAAGGGGGGCGCGCAGGGCGAGCAGGGCCCCCAAGCAGGGGGAGGGCGACAACACGACTTCACTCGACGCAGGGGAGAGAGGAGAATGCAGGAGGCCCCTTCGTGCCACGCTTTTGCTGGGGGGGGGGGGGGCTTAATTCCTTCGTGCCACGCTTTTGCTGGGGGGGGGGCTTAATTATTATTATACCTACGTCCTGCTGCGCCCACTCTTCGAACAGGGCCCCCATCCCTCTCTAGGCCCACACCGCTTCCTGGACGCGCTGGCCGATGGTCGACCCATGCATTGTCGTGTCCGACACAATCCTGTGCTGCAGCACTCTGTATCAAATTTCCCCGCAGTACTCCAATTGCACCTCAGAGGTAGGGGCGAGCAAACCGATTATTGTCACGGGGTGCGAGAGGCTTCCACATCTGCGATGCTGATCACGCATCGCTGTCGTTTCGCGGGGGGAGGGCCCTTAAGGATGATACTTTAGTGCAAAATACCTACTCGCAAAACGCCCGACAAGAACACATGCCTTCTTGTATACAGTTGTAGATGCCACGACAATGGACACCCTAACAGTCCTATCATTGAAATAACAATGTGGTTAACATGTCGGAGAAATGTCCCGTACATGTTTAACACATGTTGTTTTACATGTTTAAAACAGTCTTAACACATGTTTGAGACATCTGGAAATTACTAGGCAACATGCTTCCTCTCCATTGATCATTCTCCACAAAAATACAGTGGATCGTAGACCACCCGCGGCGGATCCAGGCCATCCTTGCGAGCAGTGGGTCCGACCCGACAGGCGCGGGACGCCGAGGGTCCTCCTGGAATACGGCTTGCGCCACACATTTCCGCCAGAAGGGGGATTCCCGGAAGTCTCCCGGAGATTTCGGTAGAGCCTTGGCTCGGAGATTCCGCCAAGTGAAATCTGA